ACAAATCAGAGTTATTCTGATATTGCATGCAGTTGTCACAGATCATTAACACAATCTATAACACTCCCCAGGAGAACAGCCTGATACGGCGTTATTTTCCCTTTGCTTCAAAACGTTACATTCAGAGCTTTATTTCCTTCATCCACACTTGTCCTGGCTAAGGTATCCTAGCTGCAGTAGCTGAAATGACACCATGAAAAGGAAAGTCAGAGAAACAGCAACTGTTAGAGTTAATATCCTGAGGAATAGTTTCTTAGCAGCAACTTTGATTAGTGAGGAACACCTGGCAAATCACAAAGCACAGGCCCAGTGATGACCTTGTTTATATTTCTTCCCACCCAGCAAAGCCAGGTCTGAGGACGGAGTTGCACCATGCATATTTTTAAAATGTTAATTGCATCAGATTTTACACTCTCCTACCTTCCTGCAAGCCCTTTTCACCTCTTACTTGCAAGACAAAATCTAAGAGGGCACATAGATATGAAAATGCTAGGGAAGCAAAATCAGACCTAATACACACAGGAAGCAAAAACGAGGCCAAAGACTATCCTGGTTCTGCTGCCTCTCTAGAATATGAGAACTAGATTGTGTGCCACATCTCTATACTGTCATATCAGGTCTCATCTAGTCCCTGACAACCACTTCTGAACTAAGTTTCATGGCTATTTCTCCTCTTGGTATTCAACTAAGATTTGCAAACAGTTTCAACATACTGGTTTATACACAGCTGAAGGTTGATTTGACTTCTAGTTTCTGAGAATTGCTGTGGGTTTGGGTTTCTTAGCCAGCAACAGCAGCTGTGGCCAGTTTTGCTGAAGGGACTATCCTCAGATTTAGAAGCAAAGAAAGTGCTCCCTTCAATGCAGAATGCTGAATTCATGCTTCCTAAGCATCAGCTGATACTGATGTGGGCATATATGGGACTAAATATGAGAATATAATATCAGCATAAGCAGAAATGGAAACTTTGTCAATTGCCACATTTTTCCTTGTGAGCATGTTCTGTACTACACAAAACAAATCATTATGTCTTGAAGCCACATTCCACCCAAGTAAAGAAATTAATAGCATCTGCCTTGATCCTGTGAAGGCTCTTCCTAACCTTCCCAGGTTCTACAACTGGACAGAGATATGTATGTGCTTGAGCCTTATAATGTTATTGAAGAGGACAAGCTGGATCCTTAGCCATGGCAGGTGCAGTATCTCCAATTCAGTGGGCAGTTACAGTGTCTTAAAAAATTGATAATCTGATCACACACAAACTGTGATCTCTTAACTGGCTCCTTTTCCTTGGGAGCCAGGTAATGGTGTATTGTCCTCTGTGAAATTAAATGAGACAGCAAAGCCTAGAGCCCTTCATCAAATGGATTTTAAGTTTTCCTTTCTCCATGACTCTGCACTTCATTCTGGTATGAAATAAATTGTTCTGGAAGTTGGAATTACTTTTTTGTTATTATTCTAGAAAAGGTTGGGTTGAACATTGTTGATGGATTGCATGAGAGAGAGCAATGACACAAAGATGGTTTATGATGGAAAAAATGGTGTGATATGAAAAAATACATAGCAGCCCTCTGTTTACACAGCTATTAAAATGTTGTAGCGATCAAGAAAGATTAATGTAAAACATTTAGCATGAGAGGAAGCAATAGGTTAATGTACTTAGTGAAGCTGCTGTAGAAAACAATGACAGACATAGAATCAGAGCTGGATGGGGAAATTTACCTCTAGTTGATGGTCAGCTTCAACAAAGGAAAAGGTCAACAATTTGCTAGATCTGTTCAGCAGAGGACACGTGACAGAAAAGAAAGTGTTTAACCAAAATATATGCTGGATCTCACCACCCACACAGAAGAGAACAATGCCACTCACTGTGCTCTGTATGATTCAGATAGCCAGGGCTACTTTTTATTAAGGCTGTCAGTTACTACCTGATATGCAATGCATCTTCTGTTATCCAGCTAGGTTTAATATCTGGGAACAGTTTAATTGCCTAAATATATCCATGTAGGCGTATCCTTTATATTTGTGGTCTCTCTTTGAAACGCAGGCTGTGGTCCTGTGAAAGGCTCACTCTGTATCTTACCTTTTTCTCCATACCATTTATTTGTCCTGCTAACTGAAAACCCAAGAGATTGTCCACCTCCTTGTTTTTGCAGCACAGAATAAGGCTTTGATCCTTTCAGGGGCTCTGCACTCAATAATTATTACTACATCCAATGATACCATAATAAAATACTAAAATTCTTAATTTTTCTTCAGATATGCACGGAACATTTGTCATCCTGATGCCTCTCAGCCTGATATTGATGATTTTTGGAGGAATGACTGGATTCATCAGTATTATTGCCAGGGCCTACCTACTACTTCTAATGACAGGACTGCTCTTTCTTTTTGGAGGTACTATATCAGACTCCTGTCTTTACTGTTTTAAATAAGAAGACATTTTATCTGGGAAACATCGCTTTGTCTTCCTGGGAAAAAAAGCTAAGCAAGAGTTTACTTTCAGAATAATGCTGGTGTTCATTTACTTGGTCTGCTCAGCTCCTGACAGGGTTCTGGAATAGAAAGCTGCCACTCAGAGTCAGGAAAAACAAATAATCACACACAATCATATATCCTTGTGGACACAGAAGATATAATACCTTCTCAGCGCAGTACCCAAATTCTCCACAGACACGGTAATGGAGTAATGGAGGAGTGACTTTGTAATTAGTAAAGCATAGGATTCGATAGACTTGCACAGATCTTAAAACTATTAAGAAAACTGACATTTTTCAAAGGTACTTGACCCTCAAAAGGGCCTTGGTAGGCATTTCTGGGTCAGATTCAGTGCCAGCTTTGAACTAGAGAGGAGTCCCCAGACTTCGGGTCACAAAAGGAACCCCCAAAGAGTTATTTTAGTTGGAGTGTAACATTTCAATCTGAAGCTGCTAAAATTCTTTTACATTTTGTGTTCTATTATTTTTGCTGTAACCAAAACCATTTCCTTTATGAAATTAAAAATGTTCTGTCAAAGTAGAAAAACTGGGCTTAAATCCACTTCCATTTTCTTCTCCAGATAGATTTTCAGTACTGTTTCACGATGTAACTTAAACAGAAATTTTCCCCAGCAGAAAAGGGAATCCTCGGTATTGGCCCTCGCCACCTGATCATACAATCCCTGTTTCTAAGAAAAGAATGCTAAGAGATTGCTGAAAGCAAATGCTGCTGTCTCAAAGTCTTGAATGACCTTTTAGTCTGAAATGCTCTTACAAAGACCAACCATCTTCCATTATGCTTTTCTTCTTCAAAAAGAAAAAGTAAGCTCTATTTCCTTAGAACATCAGAAAGCTGTATTCACTAAAAAGGCTTAGGCTGTTTGGAAACTACTCCAAATAGTAAGTGAAAAATGAAAAGCCATGAAGTGCAAAGCATGATTACCCTGCTGAGGAGTGGAGTACTATGCCTTTCTAGCACACTTGGGGTTGCAAAGGGGGAAAGGAAACACAAAGACGGTAGTAAGAGAGGAGCGCTTGAACATGTTTTCAAGTTGCAGCTAGTGCTGTTTCCCAGGACAGCATAAACAGAGTGACTGCAGGGGGCACTTTGATGTGACACCAGACCCTCTTCCTGCTCAGGTGGTATTGCTCAGCTCTTTCAACTGCACTGAGGCTTGATGCATGTAACAGGTATGCACAGTTGTATAGGATATTCTAGTTCACAAAGTTCAGTATTGATTAGATAGTTATCTCAGCAGAAAGAAATTTTATGCTGCAATTTCAGAAACCTGCGGTTTTTCCAAAGTACCAGAACTGTTCCACACCCCAGGACATTCATTTTGCTTCCCCATTTTGTTGAAATGCAGCCACATTTAAGGGGATCACAGACCTTGGCATACCTTGTTGAAAATGTCAACAAAACAGTCATTTCCATTTCTGCTGGCAAAAGGTATAAAGTGATTTCTCCCCTCACCCTTGCAGTCACCACAGCATGGTTAAAAACAGTAATATGAGTATGAATTTTGACTGTTGGATAACCCAATACTCTTCTGTCTTGGTTAGCCTCTACTCAAACTTGTCTTTCTGCCAAAAATGCAAACTCGTCTAGACTTACACTGTGATTTAGCAAAAAGCTAGACCAAAATTTATCTCAGAATCAGATAAGACACTATCTTGTCCTACAAGTATTCCAGGATCTATTTTGCCCTGGCTACGGTCCTTTAATCCAGGGCATTTCTATCACATGTTGCCTGCCACTGATCCAGTAAAGTTGTGACTTTCGTTAACGTATGTCCTTTGAGTAACATAGGTGCCAGGCCCAGGATGTAGCATGTACCTGTGCTAGATGTGCTATTCCCTAAGTTTGCTAGTTGCTCTACAGTGCTTTCATTCTGAAAACATCTGGCTTTATTAACTTATTTTTAGTCTGCTCCAAGGATGTCTTTTGCTCAATTATTTGGAAGTGATTAATAGTCATGACTCCACAACACTTGGTGGGAGGAGACAGTAAAGACAGACACATGTACATTGAACACTCAAAACTTGTGATACCCCAAATTAGAAAACATCGTAAATTCAGATCACTGACCTGAAATGCGACAATCTCTGTCTCCAGAGACAATCTCTGGGCTTTCTTGCGTGGAAGTACATAACTGCACGTGGTGCACAGCAATGAGAAATCAGGATGCTTTATAATACAGTCTGGAAATGTACATGCATTAGATATCTGTAAAAAACATGACTAGATTTTTATTGTGGGAGGCTTGCTGTTACACATTTTGATTCAGTATTTAACAGTGAGAACACGTTAAACTCAGTGGACAGAAATAACTGTCCCTTTACTTCCCTTTCACTCATCCCCAGAAAACAGCCTCAGCTAGATTTCAGAGCTAAACAGGCTAGCTAGTTACCTAGCTTGGGCAGATAGAAAGGATTGACAAAGAAGCCCTAGGAGATACCCAGTTAATTGTTTTTAATTTCTGCAGTGGATGCTAACTAGCTGAATATGCTTTTCTTTCCCAGCTCTTGTTACACTTACTGGGATCAGTGTTTATATTGCATATTCAGCTGCTGCCTTCAAAGAAGCTGTCTGCCTCCTGAGGAGTAAGGATCTCCTGGTAGAAATTGACATCAGGTTTGGCTGGTCACTGGCACTAGTCTGGATCTCCTTTGTCGCAGAAGTGCTCACTGGGGCTGTGTTTCTCCTGGCAGCAAGAGTTGTGGGTCTGAAACAACGACGTGAACAGGTGTTATGAGCAACAGGTATCATTGCAGCATCAGAACGCCACAGAGCCTAGAAGTGTGGATTGCTTGGTCCATCTGGTCACTAGGGGTAATAAAATTGGCAAGGCTGTGACTGAGTTTCTTGTCAGCTGCCATAAACCTTTTTCCTCACAGCTACAAAAAACAAAGATTCTGATAAATCAGTAAAACATATGAAGTGTTGTCAATAAGGAAACTCTTATGACTTCAGAAGAAAATACATTGCAGTGTTAGCATCTCCAAAATAGTTTCATCTGTCAGCAAATACGGCATCTCAAACCATTGCTTAGAACAGGCAGATATCTTGCTTTCTTTTCTCCTTTCAGCTGTCCCAGCGAAGTGCCTCAGAGTACAGAATCACAGAATCCTAAGGGTTGGAAGGGACTTCAAAAGATCATCTAGTCCACCCCCCCTGCAAGAGCAGGGTAACCTAAAGTACATCACACAGGAACTTGTCCAGGTGGGCCTTGAATATCTCCAATGTAGGAGACTCCACAACCCCCCTGGGCAACCTGTTCCAGTGATCTGTCACTCTCACAGTAAAGAAATTTTTCCTGATGTTCACATGGAACCTCCTATGCTCCAGTTTACACCCATTGCCCCTTGTCCTGTCACTGGACATCACTGAAAAAAACCTAGCTCCATCATCCTGACACTCACCCTTTACATATTTGTAAACATTGATGAGGTCACCCCTCAGTCTCCTCCAAGCTAAAGAGACCCAGCTCCCTCAGCCTCTCCTCATAAGAGAGATGTTCCACTCCCTTAGTCATCTTTGTAGCTCTGCGCTGGACTCTTTCAAGCAATTCCCTGTCCTTCTTGAACTGTGGGGCCCAGAACTGGACACAGTATTCCAGATGCGGCCTCACCAAGGCAGAGTAGAGGGGGAGAAGAACCTCTCTTGACCTACTAACCACACCCTTTCTAATGCACCCTAGGATGCCATTGGCCTTCTTGGCCACAAGGGCACATTGCTGGCTCATGGTCATCCTCCTATCCACCAGGACCCCCAGGTCCCTTTCCCCTTCACTACTGTCCAGCAGGTCAGCCCTCAACCTGTACTGGTACATGGGGTTCTTCCCCAGATGCAAGACTCTACACTTGCCCTTGTTGAATTTCATCAAGTTCCTCTGCGCCCAACTCTCCAGCCTGTCCAGGTCTTGCTGAATGGCAACACAACCCCCTGGTGTGTCAGCCACTCCTCCCAGTTTAGTGTCATCAGCAAACTTGCTGAGGGTACATTCAGTTCCCTCATCCAGGTCGTTGATGAAAATATTAAGCAGCACTGGTCCCAGCACCGACCCCTGACGGACTCCACTAGTCACAGACCTCCAGCTAGATTCTGCCCCATTGACCACAACTCTCTGCTTTCTTCCTTCCGCCCAGTTCTCGATCCACCTCACTACCTGATCATCAAGCCCACACTTCCTTAGCTTATCTATGAGGATGCTGTGGGAGACAGTATCAAATGCCTTACTGAAATGAAGAAAAACCACATCTACCGCTCTACCATCATCCATCCACCTAGTTACTTGCTCATAGAAGGCTATAAGGTTGGTCAAACATGACTTCCCCTTGGTAAAGCCATGTTGGCTGCTCTTAATGACCCCCTCATCCTTGATATGCCTAGAGATGGTGTCAAGAATAAGTTGTTCCATCACCTTTCCAGGGATGGAGGTAAGGCTGACTGGTCTATAATTACCCAGGTCCTCCTTCTTGCCCTTCTTATAGACCAGCATGACATTTGCCATCCTCCAATCCTCAGGCACCTCACCTGTTTCCCACGACTTACCAAAGATAATGGAGAGTGGCTCAGCAATGACCTCCGCCAGCTCCCTCAGCACCCACAGGTGTATTCCATCCGGACCCATTGATTTATAGACGTCCAGATTACTTAACTGATCCCTAACCGAATCCTCATCTACCAAAACAAACTCCTCCTTTATCCTGACTCCTTCCAGGGCTATAGGAATCTGGGTCCCCTGGGGAGAGTCTGCAGGAGTAAAGACAGAGGCAAAGAAGGCATTCAACACCTCTGCCTTCTTTATATCTTCTGTCTCCAGGGCACCCACCTCATTCAGCAGTGGGCCTATACTGCTTCTTGTGTTAGTTTTATTCGCTATGTATTTGAAGAAGGCCTTTTTATTGTCCTTGACCCGACTTGCCAGATTAAGTTCCAAGGAGGCCTTAGCTGTCCTAATTGCTTCCCTACATCCTCTAACAGCTGTCCTATATTCCTCCCAAGTGGCCAGCCCCTCCTTCCATAATCCATAGATTCTCTTTTTCCGTATGAGTTTGCCCAGCAGTTCCTTGTTTAACCATGCTGGTCTTCTGGCTCCCCTACTTGACTTCCTACTCACTGGGACACTGATCCTGAGCTTTGAAGAAGTGGTCCTTGAATGCTGACCAACTATCTTGAGCCCCTTTATCACCTAGTACCCTTTGCCATGATACTTCCCTTAGCAATTGATTGAAGAGGCCAAAGTTTGCCCTTCGGAAATCCAGAAATGTGGCCTTGCTAGGTATTCTGTTCCTCCCATGCAGGATCCTAAACTCCACCATCTCATGGTCACTGCAGCCCAGGCTGCCATTGACCATCACCGCTTCAACCAGACCCTCCTTGTTGGTGAGTACCAGATCCAGCAGTGCTCCTCTCCTAGTTGGTTCATCCACCATTTGCATTAAGAAGTTATCATCAATGCACTGGAGGAACCTCCTAGACTGTGAATGATTGGCTGTGTAAGTCTTCCAGCAAATATCAGGGTAGTTAAAATCCCCCATAAGGACCAAGGCATGTAGTCGTGAGGCTGCTTTCAGTTGCCTGTAGAAAGCCTCATCAACTCCATCCTGATCAGGAGGTCTATAATAGACTGCCACAACTGTGCCACCCATACCAGCCTGTCCCTTAATTTGCACCCACAGACTTTCCACTTGGTCCTCATCTGCCCCTGGACAGAACTCAATACGTTCTAGTCTCTCTCTCACATAAAGAGCAGCTCCACCACCTCGCTTTGCTGACCTATCTTTCCTAAAAAGGACATAGCCGTCCATGACCACATTCCAGTCATGTGAGCTATCCCACCATGTCTCTGTAATTGCCACCAGGTCATAACCTTTAGACTGCACACAGATTCCTAACTCCTCCTGTTTATTCCCCATGCTGCGTGCATTGGTGTACAGGCATTTCAGGGAGCGAGCAGAGCACGCTAGTGGCACCCTTGGGAGGTGGGAGGCCTTCTGGTCTTCATTCATACTAGAACAGTGCCCCACTAGTTCAAACCCAGCTACAGCCCCCTCGCACTTTGAATCTAACCTAAAGCTCTGTGAGTGAGCTCTGCTAACTCTTGCCCAGGTACCCTTTTTCCCCTGCGGGACAGGGTCTAAACAACTCTCCCTCAAATGAAACAATAGATTGAGAGTCCTCCCTAGTCCACCATCCTTCAGGCCCTAGCGTGTTTCTCTTGGGCTTGTCCCCAGCAGGCCCAGTTATCTCCCCTTCTCCCTTCATATCTAGTTTAAAGCCCTGTCAATGAGTCCTGCTAACTCCTGCCCCAGAAACCTTCTCCCCCTCTGAGACTGATGTGTCCCACCTGCCACCAGCAAACCAGGTGTCTCATATAGCAGCCCATGATTGAAAAACCCAAACCCCTGCCTTTGGCACCAGTCCCATAGCCATACATTAATCTGCAGTCTCTTCCTATTTATCTCTTCGCCCTTGCTTGTAACAGGTATGGAGGCAAACACCACTTGCGCTCCAGACCCTCTAACCAGCCGTCCCATTACCAGACCCTCTAACCAGCTGTACCTTGTAGGCCAGTATGCACGGCTCACTTAGCTTTTGGTTACTTCTCTGAAGCTGGTTAGAGGGTATTGAAGAGTGCATTGAGTTCTGTCCAGGGGCAGATGAGGACCAAGTGGAAAGTCTGGGGGTGCGAATTAAGGGACAGGCTGGTATGCACAGCTCACTTAGCTTTTGGTTACTTTTCTGAGAGTCCTGATAAGTGTGCATTGTAGGATTGCAGGCATGTTGGCAGCTTCTACCAGCAGAGGTGCTCTGAGATGGCTACCTTGTGGTAGAGAGTGTGATCTTGAGGCACCCTCAGTAAATTTGCTGACAACACCAAGCTGCATGGTGTGGTCAATACACTGGAGGGTAAGGATGGGATCCAGAGGGACCTGGACATGCTCAAGAGGTGGGACCGTGCAAACCTCATGAAGTCCAAGAAGACCAAGTGCAAGGTCCTGCACGTGGGCTGGGCAATTCCAAGCACAACTACAGACTGGGTGGAGAATGGATTGAGAGCAGCCCTGAGGGGAAGGACTTGGTGGTGCTGGTTGACAAGAAGCTCAACATGAACTGGCAGCGTGTGCTTGCAACCCAGAAAGCCATGTAGTAGTGACTATGATGGTGAAATTCTCAAGTGTAGTGCAGTGGGGAATGTACTGCAAGAGAAAGATACAGGTTCTTTTCCAGATGTTTTAAGTACCTACTTAGCCAGCCACAGTCTGTCAGTTGCTCAGGCTATACACTTACCAGTTTCAGCTTATTACTGCCTGCTTTTTCAGTTCTGTAGTGCAGAAGACGAATCTGATGCATTTCCCACTTTTTATGTAGCAATTTTGACAGTGCTTCTTTTTAATGAAATTTGTTCACATGCTTTGTGCTAGAATATGCTTAACTTGTGCTGAAAACTTTTGGCATAAACTGGAAACACAGAATACCTGTGTTTTCATCTTAGCTGCCAAGAAGTCTGGGTTTTCTTAATTAGTTTTTCCTCTGGGTAACAAGTGTTTAAGACAAAATTTACTTCACTGCCTACTGAAGTTAAGGAAGAATTTTCCCCCTGCCTGCTATGGCTTTCAATAAAGACTTGGATGTGTTAACAGCTCCGCTACATTTCTGTTAGGCCATGTATTTCTGGAGGACTTCAGCATATCACTGTTCACGACTGTGGCTCAAGAGCCGTGTCAGCAAGGCACACTGTGTCACTGGGCAAGTCCCTTGTACTTTTCCCAGTAGCGCAAAGGGCATCATTTACCTACCTCTGTTAAATATCAGAACAATTTCATCATTGTGTCTTGCATTAAAGTTTGCACATTTACTCTTATGGAGCTCAGCTCTTAATCTTACTCACACAGTACCAATTACTTTACAAAAAGATAGTGGCAGGGTGCTTCTGAGGCCTTACAGTCTCTGGAGATATAAGGAAACATTATTAGTGCCATGCTGTGAATGGAGAACAGAGGCAGAAAAACTGTCCAAGGTCACTTGAAACCAGAGTTTCTGAATCTCAGTCCAAGACCTTAGTTGGCACACCTTGCTTGTTATCGGGATGAAGCAAGTCCT